ATGAGCATCAGCAGATGCCCCTTGCCTCGGTATATATTCTGCATACCGTATTATGCTGATTAATGTGATTCTTAGGTACAGCAGGCTCATTAATGAAGTCTTCTTACAACTGGCACGAGGATCTCTTACTTGGTACTTACCGTCTACGAGATGTAATGAGTAACCAGGGATACTTACACTACTCAAATCTTCGATTGCAACTCCACTGAAACACAAGTTACAAATCTGAAGCCACAAGAACAGTTAAAAAGTTGTCAAGCTCTTCGGTGTTGAGCTAGACTACCATTTTTCAAGCCTCGCAACCAGCATGGGACCAAAGACTCGATCAAGGAATGGGCATCGGGTGGTCAGAGCATGCACCAACTGTCGCCACCGCAAAACCAAGTGCAACCCTCCGCCTCGACGGGGAACTAGGGCGGACACAACGGCCTGCAAGAGATGTCGCGTGAAAGGGCTTCACTGTGAATATCTCCCAGTCGGTCAAACTTCTCAGTCAGTAACACCAACAACGCCACAAATCATTCCACCTCCACCCCCGCTCACATCGTTGGGGTTATCTCCGATTCTGGGATATAGTCACCACCATAAAAATATTCAGCATCACAACAGTGAGGCAGTCCATTCCTACGCCACACAATCCTCCGGTTTGCCTTCGGGGGATTCCAACAATTTTCCTGAGCTAACGACGGGCGGTCCAGCCCACCATCTGAATCTACCATCATACTACGTTCCTCCTGGAGAGGATTCCCGGAATTTTCTTCCCCCGGACTTACTAGCGCAGTATAACCCTGCACATGGTCCGAATGATAGCTATGGACAGGAACGATCTGTACCAGCGTCGAGCAACGACAACGCGAATAGTTCCCAGGTACCGTCAGAACAGCAAACGTTTTGGTCAGAGTATTCCCAAGCTCACTGGTTCGTAATTTTTTCGTTTAGTGCTAATGAATCATGATACTGACTTTTGAAACGCCAGGAATCTTCCTGGATCTTTTGGACAGTCTTTTTTCTGAGGTAACCACCGAGTAGAAGATTTATGTCATGTAATTACAATTTTCAGCATGCCAATCTCGATCCTTACGTGTATCTACCAAACTCACCGTCCGCTGAGTGATCTTTGTCACTCTACAATCACACAATCAAGTAGCATAGTTGATAGGCAGGTTACAACGAGATAATATTGAGCCAGCGTCTGTTGCGCGAAATCATGAAACGAGTATTATCAATTTGAGAGAAATGTTAGCTGCGAATGAGAACGATGACTAGACTATTCAAATTTCCTGGAATCCCTTGAGCGGTAGGTCTTCCAGCTCGTCTAGAATGTCGAATGCTTCATTAGCTTGCGGTTCCCAGTGAACCTCGGCGCTTCTCTAGTGCGGGTAGATGGGAACAAGAACCTGATCGCGATTTGATGATCATAAACATGCGCTCATCTGAAAATGTCTAAACTGGCTGTTACCTCTGGTAGTTTTATATTCGGCTACTTCCCCCAGCGCATCGGCAATTGAGGGAAAGGTACGAAACTCTCGGCCTGGAGCGCGCTGAGGTGACGAAAACCCGCTGTGGAGCCTATCATAGGCGCTCGTATCGAGAGAAGGAAGAGGTATGGGGAAGGAGTCTGACGAAGACGAATACAATTGAGTGGGACGCTGGGTGGTAAGAGCGAGACTTTGTGGTTACTGCATCTGATCATACGGCAAGGAGGCTGTTGAAGAAGGTTCAGGGTACATCTGTTGAGAACAGGTGCGAATCATATAACACGGTCCTACTGGAACGGTCCCGGAGATAACACTTTGCGCTGTTTAATCAATTACAACCCTTCCATACCCTCGGGTGAGGTGATTGAATCCTTAGCGTACTCCTGCTGTATTGAATTGGCCAAAAGAAATATTGTATTCCGATAACGGTAAGGAAGCGTAAACTGACGGCCCCGCTCTATGCGCTTTTCGCTTTGTGAGCAACATACTTACTATGTATCCTGTATTCTTCCAGAAGCATACTGAGTTCAGAGGAAACGTCGGCTGGGAATCATGTCTGAGCTTTGGAAAACTTGTTCAGCTCTTCAGGCTCAGGATTGGGTGAATTTTCCAGCCTCGAGTGATCGTTGAACGTCATCGAAAGTATCCCCATGCTTCAGCTGGTGTAGTGCATATCCCCGACGTTAGAGCCATCGTTCTGGTTGCGAGAATAAGGAAAAATCTGATGACATCAACCCAATCTTCTGGGATGATAACACTCTTCGTTACTCTCCGAGAAACACAGTAACGCTGAATGGATTTAACACTTCCTTCCATCCGCGTTGACAACCAACAAATCGTGTAGTAGAGCTCCAGAGGTGAAGAATTATACATGAAACGAAGGACTATCGTTCGGGAGCATTAATCAACGGAAGTGTCTTCTGGCCGCCCCTAGAGTTCGAGGTTCTGTGTTCTAATGTATAAGCCGTCGGAAGAACGGACGATTGCATTGATGAAAATGATACAGTTGTCGACTGTTACAATGAGTACGTTAACAGCCTGCTTATGGTTTGGTCACGCACGCACAGAACAAGGAGGATATTTGGAAGGAGTACAGACCATGTTAGTTGTTCTTGAACCTTGACGTATCAGTACACCCATCCAAAATAACTTCTGAAGCGGAATGGTTAGACTCGGATACCTGGAACGGGTACGTGTATGCTCGACACATGCCTGAAAACAAAGCTCAAAGGGAGTGTCAGTGCTGCTGCCGTTGTAGTCTTCAATAACGCATAGAAGGGCTGTACCTATCGAGGGCGCTCTCGATAATGTTAAGTCAACCCGTGAATTTCGTCTTTAGTGACGTCGGTGAATACAGTGTCTCGTACATGAACGGTTCCTTCAATCGCCCCTGTAGACCCAGAGTTCTATGAGTTCTTGGCTTGATGCCCAGAGACGAATATCGCTATGTCTGTGAAATGATAGGTCATCAGAGGATGTAAGGAGCAAGAATCAACGTACCGTATCTACCAGAATCTCTTGTTCAATCTCGTCGAGCCAGGTTTAGCCGTGAAAATAGCCATCGAAAAGCATTTGGCAATGGAATTTGATGCGAGACTCCCGGGGAAAATCAAGCAAAGATCGACGATGCTGATATTGCCCAAATCAAGCTTCCTCGGCAGAGTATTGCAATCCGAGGGCTCGAATATACCGGATGTCCATGGGTTGATTTCGCGATTCCTCAAGTTGCAAGCGTGATGTGAGAGGTTCCATTCAGGACATTGCCGCATTCCAGTGAGGAACCAGTAACCGGTCTCGGGCGAGTCTACAGTAAGGGTGGAAGGAATACCCAAGATATAGGGCTCATGCCCATGGAGTATAAAACGCCTTTCATACCGAGGGTTACACACGGTATAGGACACCTTGCAAGGAGGCTATTTTTGAGTTGGTTATGCGAGGAAACGCAAGCGTTAGACCTGTCGCCGGCGAAACGATTCGACGGATTAGACATACCTAAATTCCAGGTATGTGGAACCCACAAGGAGGCGTAGTTTTCGGGAGCGAATATCGATGACGAATGAGCAGAGGGAAACTTGTTTATCACAAGTACGTCACTGTGATATGGGGTGCTCCGATTTGACCGGTTTTGGGTCCAAATTGCGCTGGGAAAAAGAAGACGTCTTCGAGAGGCTTCGTCTGGGCATGGAGATTTACCGAGACACTCATCAAGTCCATTCGAGAGATTGCCGCACTCCAGTATGTACTCCAGTGCGAGGAACGAGTAATCGGGTCCTGCCTAGTATATCCAACCTTACAGATAGAAAAAACAATCAGAATCGCGTCACATTCTACCAGGACCTTTATTACTCACACTCAAACTCTATATACAAGTATCAGACCACGATGGCCAGAGAGCCCGCCGAAGAGTATCTACGGCGCTTGGCTGCGGAGATAAGGGGATCGCCACGTGGGTGGTACAGGCACAACAATGACGTAGGCACCAGCAGTTTTTTCACGTCCGCGCCCGACTCTTGGCTCTGCTCGAGGGCATCTGGGACTATGAGAGGATGGCTGAGTGCTGGGAGGGGTAATGAACGCTGAAGAGGGAGTAACGACCAGAATGTACTGGGCGTGGACGGTGGATGGTGAAAGAAATAGATGGGGTTCACGATAGCGGAGTGTAGGATGACCATTGGGATGTCGAGGTGATACATCGCGAGTAACAGAGGAGGAGGGCTCTACTGCGTGTATGGGTGGGCTTCCATAGACGAAGAGTTGAATAGCAAAGGTGAAGGTTTTAACATGTAGGATGGTGCGACTGCTCGGGGATAGGGAGAGGGTGTAAATCTGTCGTTGGTGGGTAATATCGACGGTTTGGTGGGTATCGAGGAGGGCATCTCCTTCCGGCGCTGGAGTAGTTTCTCCAAACCCGCAAAATGGGCATATCTCTGTATCTGTTACATATAAGCACGTCGTCGTGTGAGTTCGTATCCAGAATGAGTGATACTTACAGGAAGTGTAGAAGAACCCCAACGCTCCCCAAACCGATCTGGCACGGTAGACGTAGAAGATAACTCCCAGATACGGTGGATCATGCGAGGAAGGAGAAAGATGGTGATCGTAGCCCAGGGGATTGCTGAAAGAAGGAGGACCGTGTTTGTTTATGTATCGGGCATGCGAAGAACGAACATTAACGAGGAGAGGAAGAAAGAAGAGGTTTTGGTATGTCCTAATGCAAACCTGAGACACGCCGATGACGAAAAAGTAGGCATACCCTTCACCACCCATCCAAACGGTTCATGCTCGAAGCTTGAAGAAGAATTCAGTATAGAAGAGAAGAATGGTAATATGCCTGTGTTTCCAACGAGCAATACCGGGTGACCTCGTCGACGAGTTCGTTTGGTGCGTGGTGGACGGTGGTGGAGCAGAGAAAAAGCGTGTTTGTCACATACACGTCACTGTGACAAGGAAGACTCGGATTCGGCCGATTTGGGTAGCCCGAATCGCGGATGGGAAAAACAACACTCAAAGCAATGCCGATCACTCCCTGGCTGGGAGTCGAACCCAGCTTTCGCGCGGTACACAGGTTTACCAGTTGTTTCTAATGACAGGCGCGTGTACTAACCGATATACTACCAGGGATTGCAATCACAGGCAAAGTTATCTTCTTGTCAACCCTCCGACCTTTGATAGTAATAGCCGTATCGACCACTTTTCCAGTGCCAAGTAAGCCCTCGACCATCACACAAAAGGGCAGGTGGTCATACCCCGGATATGACCTACCCTACCCGGAATGACCTCCCAATATCCGGGATACCTGGATATGGGGGTCATTATGGAGGTGGGTTGCTTTATTACTCGTAATGACACCTAGTTATCCGTTGTGAACCTTTTAATCAGGTACAGCTAGTTACCTGGTTATCACGACGGGTTACAGGTTTATCATCACGGGTTACATATATGTCATTACTAGTAATGTATGTGATCAGGGATTATCATAGATATAACTACTCATCGAGGGTAGAGCTAGTCGGTGAGGTTATGACTGCCGATAACTGGCAATAACCAGTTATCAGCCGTACAAACGATTCATGCGAGATCTAACCACCAGTGAATGTTGCAGATTTCTTTGTCGCACTCAATTAGGGCCAAGTATTGATTGTAAAGAGATATATATTCAACAACACTAAGTCTAGCATACCATACATATGATCTAACTATCGAAGACTACTGCAAGAAACATCCGTGCCACAACATGTGATATTGGTTCAGATGCTAGATTGACTTATCAACGTCAGCACAGCACGGAGCATAGAACAGGGTGGGGCATACCTCAGAGTTATCATATCCGCACACGTACTGAGTACCCTGAGTAGAGATGGATGGTTTAGTACTTGTATGCGCACACAAACAACATAACTCTTACCGGTACTGATATCGCGAGCACTCTCGAGTACTGGGACAACAGGAACACTACAAACTACAGCATGAGTAAGACTGATCTGGATAATAATAACTGACGACGACATACCTGACTTCATTTCCCACCCACATCACCGAATCAAATTGAGTACCTGTGCCGTTGATGCTACACTGTGAAGAACATCAGTAAGTGACCACGACCAGCTGGGAGCACAGACCATTGACCAAAAAGAAGACAATAGATGGCGGCAATCCGGGTCAGCGACAGTGGCAATGGCGAAGCAAGTAATAGCCAGTATCAAGGGGGAGGGCAACAGTCTTGAGGGCGTGGGCAAGGGGCAATGGCGGGGGTGGAGGATGCTAGACGGCGACGATGAGGACAGTATTGATAGCGTCGAAGATTGACTGTCGAGTTGGGTGATGCTATTAAGCCTAACGATGGCATTGGCAATGGCAACCTTAACCGGCAGCAAGTTGGCAGTGTTGGCGATGAAGAAGTGTTTGGCGACAACAGCAGTGACGTTGAGGAACGATGTTGACGATGGAGATGGGTGCTGATGATTGGGTCAGTGATGGCGAGCTTGAATGTTGGCGAGGGTGTCGAGGTAGTGTTGACGAGGGTAATGGTAAGGGGTTTGTCAACGGCGGCGATGTTGAGCTGGACAGTCTCAGCGATGGCGGCGTTGTCGAGGAAAGAGATGGTGGTGGTACGGAGGAAAGAAGCAATCCGCGGAGTTTGAAAATCGCGCGGAATAAATACCCAAAATCCCACGGTGGCTGCCTCACGTGATTTTCATCTTGGAAAAACTCCAAAAGAGCTCCGAACAACGCGACTTCACCAACATCACTCACAACAACCACAATGTTCGGCTATACCCACCAAAAACGGTCATAACCACCACAACTAGCAATAACAAGTAACGGGGTGGTTGTAACCATGTTATAACCCTCTGATAACCGGTGAGTGCGAGTTACTCAAAGGTCATAACGTTGATAATTGATTACTATTAGTTTCATATAGTTCTTTCCCAGATATTGCTTTGATTAACTAGTATACACGAGTCTTCTATGTTATATCTACCGGTAAGGCGCTATGTCTATCTGACATTTTGTGTGATGACCTACTTACATTCTGACGTCCACGAGACATTAGCATTCAAAGGTCACACACCTATCAGAAAAAACAAACAAGTACAGAGACTATGAATAACTGTTGTGCTTATTGAGACTCGGTGCCAACTAGAAGGTTTGTTTCTAGTTTGGTCTACATTTCACGTTTATTCTCAACAGCTAAAAGCCGGCAAGGTAACCTTCATATCGCAACCACCTGGGTGCTAGTTGACTGAATTTTGAGCGATCAACCACATCGAGACACGCCCAAATCGGAGCCAGGGCTAGCGATACTTACGCACTAGGGTGATTTCTCACATAGTTTTGAACCTCGAAAACTCGCCGCAGATTTCCGGAGCATCTGCTTTGCCTTCTGCAGTTCATGCCAGACGTGGAGCGGTGGGCGAGGATCTCGATAAAGGTTCGTTTCATGTAACCGTGTCTGTGCATTCAATCTTCTGGACTCTTCGTTGCTTTATTTGCAGAGAGCCTTTCAGGATGATCCATACGAACACGCGGACTGCGAGCGAATGGAAGGAAGAAAAAGCGAGTATCTATGACGCAATCTCTCTCGATTAACAAAGACGCAGTTATATGTGCCTTTGTCTTGATTTCAAGTCGGATCACTCACGCAAATACGAACCCAAGGTAGGCATAATTCAACACAACAGGGTCGTCATACATGAGAAGTCGATGAGACGATCTCCGCACTAGGTGAATGTCGCACCACCTAGTTCTTTTCCATGTTAGATTCTCATTCGACATTCTCGGAGGCATGTCGGCTTATCTTCAAGTTCTATGACTTTGGTGACGATTTTCGCAGCATTCTTGTCTGAGCCTGCTCATCGACTACTTGTGTAGTGGTTTGTACACATCACGGGAATCAACCACGCTACTCGAAGATATGGAAACGCCGAAAATACACCTGACTCTAGCAATTCTTTGCAAACTGAGGCATGCAACTTGCAGCAAAGTCCGAGACTGTTGAGTTGTCGGAGATGACCGATCCTCCACTTTCGTAAACCTGATTCGAAGCCCGCCAACATAGGCTGTCAGGAGGCCCTTCGTCCTACGCCTTGATTGTGCAGAATTAACGAGACGTTGACTGGAGCTTTCAAGATACATGAATCAGTGTCGTTAATACTGCGGGATCCAAGGATACTCGTATACCTAGTCATGAGCATCTCGGCGATGGATCAAGCGATGAACGATGATCACTTGAACTGAGGTACAGTAATCCAGGCCATCTCCTCATCAAGGCACATAGCGACGTAAAACATTTGGAGCGCAGAATGCCATCTTGTTGGTCACGATGCCTTCGGAAACTGCGACACGTCTTTCTGCGAGTCTGACTCTCGCCACGCCACTTTGGTCGTGAGCTGAAGATATAGAACCATTCACGCAGTATCAAGGAAAGAAGGACAGGATACATACGTGGTGGGACTCATAAAGGTCTGGAAGTCTCGGGTGTATTCAGAGAAAGAACAACGGTCGAGGACAAGTTTAGGACAAGTCGAGGAGCAGAGCAAAAGCGTAGTGACATGACTCACTTCTTTGATCGTCCGAATCAAAATTCCGAAAGCACCAACCATTGTGCACTGTGCCTGGTCCATGGACTATCATTCACTCTTCCAATTGCAAATTCTATCACCTTCTTTCACTGCCCTCGCCTCCGATTTCACAGCTGCCCGCCGTTACCTCGTTCTTGCGTGATAGAGCGGAGGTACTGGTTAGAATGGTACTTGTTGGAATTGAGTTGGTCCTCATTGGTATCTCACCGCGGATTGCTCCAAGTGGCTTCAATCGAATTGCATGTTTCTAGCAGCCTTGGAGTTTACTCCAGGGCGCTAGGCGAGGAAAATACTCTGTTCCTTGATCCAACCTCTGGAAATTTCTCACCCATCCTATCTCGTTGTCTTTGGGCGGGATGCATCTGGTGACGAAGAAGTTGTACAATTCTTTTTTAAAGCTGATTCGTGTACGACTAGGCTTCTATCTGTCCATCAAAGATCAAGCGTACCTCAGGATCTTACTTCAAATCGAAGGATTAGGTGTGGGTGTCTATGGGTACGCCCTCTCTCTTGAGTAACTCGATCAAGAAGGTGGAAACATATGAATCAAAACTGGCATAAATTGACGCAACCGTTAGACAGGAAGCCCGGAATTAGTACGATGGTCGTAATTGTCGTTCTGCCCGTTACTAGTCCTTGGGGATGATAAAGGGTCTATTTATTTCTTCCACTTCGCAGGTGGGTATCAAATCTCGCACCTCATTTTGCAAGGCAGGTCGCATTTGGTTGATACAGATGGTCACGGTAGGCCATCTGCACGATTTTCATTTTTTGTATCACCATTACCGAATCTCTCGGCTTTCCGGTGTTTTGCTTTCACGCTGAATTACTGAGAAGGTTTTCAATCTAGCGATCCCTTGCAAGCTGAAACATCTGTGGATCATACCCATGATTTCATTATGTGACATGATCTAACTGGCGACGAAAGACAGCGAAAGATATGGGTTCGGGGCCGCATTGGATGCTTGATTCACCTCAAGCACCGATCATTCCTTAGTACGGGTGAGTTAATTGGGGTATTCTTTATGTAGTTCGTTACCAACAAGGACGGCCATAAATTCAGCACATCAAGATATCAGCTGAGACAAGAGATGGGAACAACATGGGAATCACCGTCTGGTTCTATTTCAAGCTTGATTGTGCTATTCGTATATTCATGCCAAGACACAGAAGAGGCATTGCTATTTCCGTTTATCTAGCTATTCGCCTAAAAACCTTGAGTCAAGATGCAGAGTCCAAACTTTGCAGCCTTCATCTCACAGGGATAACTATCATTGAAGATCAATCATCCGAGTCATGCATCACCCGGGCGGTGGGCTCTTGGAAGTATCAAACACTCATCATGGAGCTTGTTCGAGATCACCCGCATCGAGTGATGAAACTTCCTGCTACATAAAGACCATTCATTCCCAGGATCGCAGACTTCGATTTCCATCATTGCTTCTGCTCAAGTATACAAAAGGCTAAGGAAGCTCTTGTGCTCCCTCCTTTCTTGCTCTTCCTCAACTTTTTCCACAAGAAATCATCCTACTTCAGCAT